CTGGCTATATCTTTACAGTAAATATCCCTTTGGAAAGGTTAATTGATGATGGAGAGATGACTTGCAAAGAGTAGTTCTCAAACTTTGTTTTTTTTGATCCAGGCAAAATATTCTTTGTCAGGAGGAATCAGGGCCCACTGAATGTTTAAGTTGGTTATAAATAGGGGTTTCTGAGCAGAGGCTGGCCTCTGGACCTATTACACAGACCTTTCCTTTCCCTCCCCTATGTCCTCACTGTGTTCTTTCCTTATTTCCTCTCTACTGGCATCTCAATAAATAGAGTTACTCTTGTGACCTTTCCCCAGAGCCAAAGCCAGAAGAGCAGGAAGCATATGGCAACTGGGCCAAGGAGGGCCAAGGAATGTGGAAGTGTCAAGCTATGCAGAGGAAGACAGTAGGGACAAGGGGTGAGATGACGCTTTAAAACAGACAAAAGTTGGCAACTTTTTGCTTTTCATGAGGGCAGAACAGCATATTTTTTGAGAATCACTGCTATCATAAATATTAGAATGAGTGTCCAAGAAAGACAGAAATTTTATTCAGTTAAACAAATATTTGTTAAATGCCTACTATGTGCAAAGAGGCAAGGGGAGAAGATACAAAAGTTAGATAAGACAGTGCCCCAAATATTATGCATTTTATAACCTAGAATACAAATTAATTAGTAGGGAGAAAAGGCAGTCTGGGGTAGTAGCAAGAGGACTGGATTGAGTAAGAGGACCTAGGATTAAATCTCGGCTCTGCTACTTATTACTGATTTGATCCTTCTCTGAGTCTCACTTTCCATATCTGTAAAATAAGGGGGTTTGGACTACGAGATGATTCCTAAAATCCCCTTCTGTTCTAAACCCTAAAATGATCAAAAATATTTATTAAACACCTAAAATGGTCAAAAATATTTATTATGTTTCAAGTACTGGAGATACAAAAAGAGGCAAAAGACAATCCCTGTCCTCAAGGAGCTCACAACACAATGGTAAGTCACTTAACCTCTGATTGCCTCAGTTTCCTCATCTTTAAAATGGGGATAATAATACCACCTACCTTATCACCTACCTCCCAGGGTTATTGTGAAGATCAAATGAGATCATACTTGTAAAGCACTTTGCAAACCTTAAATGGGCAGCTGGGAGGCACAGTGGTAGAGTGCCAGGTTTGGAGTCTGGAAGACTCATCTTCCTGAGTTCAAATCTAACACTTACTAGCTATGTGATCCTGGCCAAGTCACTTCCTCACAGTTTCCTCATCTGTAAAATGAGTTGGAGAAGGAAATGACAAACTGCTCTAGTATCTTTGCTAAGAACACTTGGTCATGAAGGATCAGACACAACTGAACAACAACTATTATTATTATTTTAATTATAATGATAATAATATAAAATCCTGCTCTCACAGAAATCAGTGTACTAGGAGCAAAATTATCCCAGACTTTGGAGGAGATAGAGAATCCTTTTGGTTGATGAAGAAAATCAGGTAGAGTTTTATAGAGTAGATGGCACTTGAGTTGGGCTTTGAAAACAAAGGAAGAAGGTAGAAAAACAGAGGACATGTTTAGAAAACAGAAAAGCTCGTGGTTTGGCTGAAATATAGAAAAGATGAGAAGGAAGCAAAAAGAATAGATTAGCCACAGATTGTGCAGGGTCTTGGACGTCAAGCTAAAGAATTTGGACTTGGTTCTCATGGTAATGGAGAGCCACTGAAAGATTTTGAGCCTTAGAATCTGAAGCCCCATGTTATGCAAATGTAAGTTACCATTCTATCTCTGTAGTCAGGTAATTAACAAGTAGTTACCAGATAAAAGAGAAGACAGCTAGCTGACAGAAATGTTTGCCAGGAATGGCCAGCTAGGTTGTATAGTGGATAGGGCTGGGAATCAGGAAGACCTGATTTCAAATCCAGGCTTAGATACTGAATAGCTGTATGACCCAGACCAAGTCATTTGACCTCAGTATCCTCAACTGTAAAATGGACATAATAATAGCACCCACCTCCCAGGGTTGTGGAGAGGATCAACTGAGATCATACTTGTAAAGTGCTCTAGCATAGTGCCTAGCAAAAAGGAAGTGTCATGTAAATGTTAGCTATTATTTTACCACTATGAAAATCTGTTACCTTATATAATTTTTTAAGAATACGTTTTACCTGGTTTCTTTATCTCCTTGTGTATGAAACAAACATCAGTGAATGTCTCCCATTTGCAAAGCATTATGCTAGGTACAACAGAGATAAAAAAATATGAATGAGACAATAACTCTGCACTCATGCTAAATTCAAGACAGGTGCGAAACAAGTACTCAGCGAGATCCAAGGGAGGAATGATGGATAATCCTTACCAAAGGGATCAAACGTGGTGACTGAGCAAATGGAAACTTCACTAACAGAAATAAGTAGGTCAGAAGAACCAGCACCAGAGATGTGCTAGAGCCAGATGGTAAGAGCTGATTGTTAAATTTTCAGTGTGAGCATTTATATTTATTTATTTATTGGTGAGGCAATTGGAGTTAAGTGACTTGCCCAAGGTCACACAGCTAGTGAGTGTTATGTGTCTGAGGCCGGATTTGAACTCAGGTCCTCCTGACTCCAGTGCCAGTGCTCTATCCGCTTTGCCTCCTAACTGCCCCCATTTATTTTTATGCCTTGGAAATCAGCAAATCCTACAAATCAGAGCTTATTTTGTCTGTACTTTAGAAAATTACTGGGGAAATGTTAACTTTGAACATTTCTCCTATCATTTTCTTATATTATTAAATGTTAATAATGCACATTAAATTTAAAAGTGTGTCATCTTTACATTATTTTTTTTTCTGAGAGAGCCAGTTGTTAAACATTTACTAGGATACCTCTGACCAGCAGGTTTTAGGGGAAAGGTGGGTTTGATTTTGGACAAGTGGAGTTTGAAGTACTGGTAGAAATGTCCTGTGCGTCGCTGGAACTTGGAAGAAAGGTCAAGGTTGGAGAAAAAGATGCAGCAATCAGCATAAAGAAGCCATGAGAGCAATGAGATTGCTAATGGAAAAAATGAAGAGGGAGAAATGAAATCATGTAAATTGGTTAGCTTCCCTAAGTCCCCCTGTAAGAGGGGAGGGGGAAAAAAAGCTATAGCAATAGAACTGAACTTTTAAAAAAGAAATACTTATCTCTGAAAAACTGAAGTCCATTGGTCCAGTCAGTTCATTACCAAGCATTTATTAAGTACTTACTATGTGCTGGTCATTGTGCTAAGTGCTGGGGATACAAAAAAAGGCAAAAAACACTTACCTGCCCTTAAGAGACTCATAGTCTAATGAAGGAGAAAACTATTTAAGCAAGATAACAATCAGAGCAAATGGAAGGTGGTAGTCTCTTGGGTAGTTAGGTGGCATAAAGGATAGAGTGCTGGGCCTGGAATCAAGAGGACCTGAGTTCAAAATCCAGCCTCAGACATTTATTAGCTGTGTGACCCTGGCTAAGTCATTTGCTCAGTTTCCACATCTGTAAAATGAGCCGGAGAAGGAAGTGATAAACCAATCCAATATCTTTGTCAAGAAAACCCCAAATGGGGTCACAAAGAGTCTGGAACAACTCAACAACAACAGTCTCAGAGTGACTGGGTTTGCCTAAATATCTTTCTGTCAGGTATAATTTACTTTGTTTGCCAGTATCAAATCTGAATCAACTAATGTTTTTTATATTGCATCAGATTTTGAAATAGGAAAATAATTTCAAGAATCCAGAAGAGCTTCAAGTCTTTTTTATTAAGAAAAATAAATACGTATAATTCTAAAAGCTATGTTTCTGTGTCTGCTTCTGTCATCCTTCTATGCAGTTAGAAGCCTGGTACACAGTATTCCTTCAAAGTCAGCAGGTTTATTACCTGCAGAAGCCTTCAGAATGAGGCTGGTATTTACCTACTTGCATCACTCCCTTTCCATACAAGCCCTGCCCTGGATAAATTACCTGAATATTGACTTACCCTAAAATAAATGCTATACACTGTACACTGCTTAAACCTGCCCTTGGTTAGTTAGCCTGTTTATTACTTCATAATGATTCAGTTATTCATCCTAACCACACCCTTACAAGCAGGACATGGAAAGTTCCTCACAGAGAAGAATAATAACCATATTTACATTTAGTGTTACAGAAAGAAAGGGGAAGACTTGTCTTTTCCTTGCCAAAGTCTGTCATGTTTTTAACAAAATTTGTTAACATGACAATAATAATTAATAATATGTGTATGTAAAAACAACTGTTTCTGGGCCTAGGCCGAGTCATTTGCCCTTTCTCAATTCACTAAAGGCCCCTTTACTTCTGGACCTACATATGGGAACCAGGTTCAGTTCCGGGGAAGCCTTGTCCCTAAAGAGAGAGGTCAGACTCTTTCTTGATTATTCTCTGGCTCTGGAACTGCAGGGGAGAAATCTCTTAAAGCTCAGGTTTCACTCATATCTAGGGTCTCCCAAAAAGGGGACAGTAATCCAGTTCAGGTATGGGACAGTCATTTATTTCCCTTAAACAAAGGAAATTCTAAGCACAAAAGACTCAAGAGTTTTCATTGCTTAGACTTAAGCACTAGCTATAACTTATAACTACTATTATGTTCTTATGGGGTGATGCTATTTAAAACATCAAAACTTGAAGCATTTTGTGGGTCTGATGAATTAGCATTTCACCTTTACCTTCACTCTGGACTGTCCAAACAAGTCCCTCCGGGGCTATGGCCATAGGCAAGCCAAGCCAGGGTTTAGGATCCTTGTCCTGCCAGTGGTCATCTCCAAGAACCACTGGAACAGGGGACCTCTGGAAACATAGTTGGCACCAACTGAGGAGCCAATCAAACATAACCTCACAAGATGATCCTCTGATTTTAGGGCTTTCCCTCTGAGATCATCTTTAATTTATTCTACACATATCCTGTTTTCACATTGTGTTTAAATGTTGTCTCCCTTGTTAGGCTGTGAGCTCCTTAAGAACAGTTCGGTGCCCAGCACATATTGGATGTTTAATAAATGATTACCTACCTGACCAACTGAGACATCTATCCAATGGATCATTGCTCAGTCGCCTATAAGGAGGAAAGAAAATGAAAGCAGAAGTGGTAGCTAGGGCTTTGAGAGTCAGTTTCAGGCTTGCCTTAGTCAACACATGTACTTCAGTGGCTCAATGCTCCTAGATACCATGGGAATCTTCCTCTGTGCCTCCAGGTAGAAACTTGAACAGTTCTGATACACTTGGCAGATGAGAAACAAGAGGGAGCCAGAGTGTGAAGTCATCTCTTCAAGGTTCACTGAGTGGGCCACTCCTCCTGGCTTAGTGGCCAATCCTTCTGGTGTAGATATCTCTTGCCAACATCATAGGATAAAGGGACCTAAAAGGGCATTGCTTAGTCAACCCAAATCACTCAAATCCTTCAGCAATGAGCCATATGTTAACATGGTAGCTCACCAGATACTGCATGCAATATACCCTAAACTTAGAGCTCTTTAATTATTATAATTATATATAATATAATATAATATAAATATTATAATATTAATAAGGAGTTCTTAACTTGCTGTTCATGGACTCCTAATGGGTCCATATGTTTGATGGAGTCTATGAAGTTAGATGGGAAAAACTATATCTTTATTTTCACTAACCTTCAACTGAATTTTGTCATTTTCTTCAATTATTTAAAAATATTATTTTGAAAAGAGGTCCATGGGCTTCACCAAACTGTCAAAAGAGTCCAAAACAAAATATGGTAAGAACCCAACCCAGACACAGATACAGACACAGAGACTCAGACATACACAGACACAGACACGTACACAGACACAGACACAGACACACACACACACACACACACACACACACACTCAACTTGCTGGTATGATGCAACCTACTCTGTTTCAATAAACTAGTATTTGTTAAACCTAGAATTATTTCAAGCGTCAATGGGGAGGAGGTGGTATGTGTCACATGAGTTCTGAATCTTAAAGGTAGAAGGGAGCTTGGTCTAACCCAATGCTGAACAGCAGTTTCTATAATGTCCCTGACAGGTGTTCACCTGGCTTCTGCAGGAAGGTTTTCAGAGACAGGGAATTCACTACCTTTAGAGACTACCCATTTCTCTTTGCCAGAGTTGTGTTAGGAAGTTTCTTTACATGAAGCTTAAATCTGCTAGATAACCCAGAAACCAAAGAGAGTTAAAAGCAAAAGTAGCACTTACTGGGGGTGCTCCCTCTCCTACTGGTATAATCAAGGGTACTGAAAGTTTGCCTGGATTCACAGATTCTAGTTTTACTGATAAAGCAGACAGAGGATGAAGGGGTGAGGACCTCTACATTAGCCAGAGGTCTTGAGTGCAGTGTCCATCTGCCATAAAATGGTATCTTCCTCAATACCGAAAAGCATTGGGGACAAACTTGGGCAGTGAACTGGCAAGAGCAGAGAAGGTCCTAATTACTGACAAGCTCCCTCCCTCCTGTGAGAAGGGTACTTAAAGCTTTATATCCTCATTGAAAAGTATACCAGTGTGTGGCATTGTACAAGAGGTTGTCAGGTACTGTATTTGTTTTTATATTTATTTCCCCAGTGCTTAGCTTAGTGCTTGGCACATAGTAGGCATTTAATAAGTGCTCTCTCATTCTTTCATTCTTATACTCACAGTTTGAATTATGATTTGTATATAGATGAATCCCTATTCTATCTTCACTTCAGATTATCTGTCTACTCCAGTATTCCTTGTTACATATAGGATGTTTTCACTTAGAGATGGAATCTAGAATTTGTCCTGAGGTCATCTAAAACCAAATCTTCCATTTCTAAAACTAAGGTCATTATCTTTACCCACTTTTATCTAATTTCCCCATTACCAAAAATAAAACCATTATTTTTCTTTTTTAGGACCAGCCTTAAAAACATATGGAATAGGTAGTCACTTAAATGATGTGATTTGAGGGACATTGAAAGGTCCTCAGTCCTTAAACATACCCTCCACAGGCCTTCCCACAGTGTTTGAGTTTCTCACTCTCAGAAAAACATTCCTCCAAGTTGAGGCATCAGCTCTCAAAGTGTGATCTGGGGATCTTTGGGAATCCCTGAGACCCTTTCAGAGAATCCAAGAAGCCAAAGCTCTTTTTCCTAATAATACTAAAGCATTTCAGTTTCTAATAGCTATAACCCACATAAACAAAAGCTTTTGGGATGTCCTCAATAATTTTAAAGAATATAACGAGGTCCTGATACCAGAAAGTTTGAGAAACAGAGCTAAGGAACTATGTCCCAGGAACTTTTTTGTTAAAATGTAAATACAGAACCCTCAAGATGGATAATTACTACCTTATTAATGCAAAATTAGTCCTTTAGCATGGATTAGTTTACTTTAGAAAGGCTTGTTGTTGTTCAGTTGTGTCTGACTCTTTGTGACCCCATTTGGGGTTTTCTTGGCAAAGATACTGGAGTGATTTACCATCTCCTTCTCCAGTTCATTTTTATAGATGAGAAACTGAGGCAAGCAGGGTTAAGTGACTTGTCCCGGGTCATAAGCTAGTAAGTGTCTGAGGCCGAATTTGAGCTCATGAAGATGAGTCTTTCTGATTCCAAGCCCATGGCTCTATCCGCTGCACCACCTAGCAGTCCGTATTCTCATGTAGAGTTAAACTCAAAATGTTTTCTCTCTTTCCTCATTATGGCTACCTATCAAAAGCCAGGAATGTGGCTAGGCAGAAAAAAAATAAAAAAGAAAGAAAATGACCTTGCACTCTAGGCTTAGCTTTTTCTCTAGCCTTTTCCTTGCCTACTCATCTACATGTAAGAGTAGAAGAGATTTGGAACTGAAAAAACTGGGAAACCCTGAACCCCAGATGTGTGTGATAGCTATTGGGCAAATAGCCCCACTATGGAGGATGACCACTTTAATTAAGCTCTAGAGGTTAAAATCTAGAGGTCTATGGAATGCACACCATGAGCAACAGTGAGCGCCCAAAGAGAGACTCTAAGTCCACCGACCAGGAAATTTAGTCCAAAGCAAAAAGAGTTGAGGCTGAAGATACTGGCGACATAGCTCTGAGTGTGTCAGCCTTTTACTCTGAAAAGCTTAATGTCTGGGGCTGTCCATCTTTTACAAAGGAGATGAGAGCCCTCACAGCCTGCTGAGTCTTTCAAAGTGGCCTCTCTGTTTCAACAAAATGTAATACCAGCAACAGTAGAAGATGTCCCAGTCTGATTTCCTACAATGAGGACTAGTATAGCTCCCCTTAATAAAAGTCTAAACGTTTCTTGGGGAATAGTTTTTATCATAGGTTTAGAGCTGGAAGGGACCTTGCAGTCATGTACTATAAACTCATTTTTACAGCTGAGGAAACTGAGGTCAAGAAAGGTTAAGTGACTTGCCCAAGTCACATTGGTAGGTACTAAATAATGGCAAAGCCTAGATTCGAACAAGGTCATCTGACTACAAATCCAGTGTTCTTTCCACGCACTGTTGTCTTTACCCCACTTACACAGCACTGGACACAAAGCAAGCCACTTAATGTTTGCCTTCTTCGTAAGAACTGTGTGGGAAGGAATAATGACCATGAATTTGTCATTTCAGTCATATGCACACACTTGGATAGCAACACAAACAGCAGTGTCATACTGAAATATGGAAAACATATTACAAAGCATAAAATCAGCTGTCTCCTACTAAATATGGGGCTTGCTTCTTCTGAAATAAGTACTTTTAATACAGTGCAAAAGGCAAAAAGAAAAAAAAAACAACTGTAAAGTGAGAGCAAGTACAAGACTCAGAAGGCAGGAACTAAATATATTTAGCTCTGTATCAGGAATAATAATTTCTGTTCTGTTCCTGGCTTCACCCTTGAATCACTATAATCCAATTAAGCCTCTCTTCTCTCCTGTAAAATAAGGACCAGAGATTTATAAAATATTAGAGCTGGAAGAGGACACTACCAATGTGGTGGGCAGGATGATTATGAAGAATCATTAATAAAAATAGACTGAACAAGCAATAACTGCTATTTAAAATATCCAGATGTGGAAGTGAACTATGCAGTGACTGAGTTGGTGAGTACTCGATGCCATATTGGAAGATATTTATTTTTTTAATTCTATTATAGTTTGGGACTCAGAAGGTTTCTCAGCAGAAAGCAAAGTCAGTATTGCCTTCTGCAATGTCACTGCAAAAAAAAAAATTAGAATCAGTTCCAATCATAAAAGTCCCAGTGTTCATTTTCTGCTGATGCAATTTTCATAGAATTTAGAGGCCAAAAGCTACCTCAGAGACCATCCAGTCCAATCCCCTTATTTTACAGAGAGGAAATTAAGGCTCAGAGAGGTGATGGGATTTGCCCAGTGACCCAAGAAGTAAATATGCAGCCGGGTTGTCATGTGAACCCTAGTCCTCAGGCTCCAAATTCCAGGGGTCTTACCATTCCCTACCTAATGTTTCAAGCAAGAAACTGTAATGCCTCTGAGATCACTTTTCATCCTTAAGGTGGCTGCTGCCTGCTTTCTATACACACACACACACACACACACACACACACACACACACACACAGAGCTCCTGGAAAAGGAAATACTTGTTCTTCCTTCCCCCCTCCCAAAACCTTCACTACTTAGAGGGCAGTCTCTGTGGTGGAAGGATGCTAAATGGAAAAGCATTGTGAACTCAGAGTCAGAACATCTTTTGTCTAGTTCTGACTCTGCCACTAACTATCTGTGTGCCCTGGGGCAAATCACTTGCCCACCTTTCCCCTCAGTTTCCTTATCTATAAAATGAGGGGCTTGGAATAGATGACCTTCTAGAATCCTTCTAGCTCTTTCTGTAAAAGCTATTGATTAAAAATCCCAGAGGCCCAATCAGAGGCAGCTGGTGATGCAATGGATCTGGAGTCAGGAAGACCTGAGTTGGAATCCAGCCTCAGACACTTACTGGCTGTGTAATCCTGACCAAGCCACTTAACTGATTTTTGGTTCAGTTTTCTCAACCGTAAAATGGGGGTAATAACAGCACCTACTTCCCAGAGTGAGGATAAAATGAGATAGTAGTAAAGCACTTAGCACAGTGCCTTCCTTTCCCCTTTTACAAGTGTCTATATTGTATAGCCAACCAAAAACAGTGTATAGAAACACAGAATTTTAAAGATGGAACGGAAGGGCCATTGAGATCAGCTGCTATGAAACACCAAACTCTAGTACAGATGCAGACAAAATTTGGGCAAATCCCTTTGTTTACTATACCTATCCTGGTTTCCTGGCAACAGTTATAGCTCATCCTAAAACCCATTCTCCGAAAGGAGATAGGAAAGGCATGGACAAACAAAGGCAATTTCTTTACCTTCCAGATTTCTTCCAGCTTGGAATCCTCTCCCTCTTCACTTCTGCCTCTAAGAATCCCTGGCTATCTTCAAGAGGAAACTCAAATACAGGTTTTCCCAGTCCCCCTCTCCATCCCCACTCCCAATCTTAGAGCTTTCTTCTCCAAGATTACCTCTATACCTAACCTGTCTTCAATGTACCAAATTATTTACATGTTGTCTCCCACACTAGAATGGAAGCTCCTTGAGGGCAAGAACTTGTTTTTTGTTGTTTGTTTGTTTGTTTTGTTTTTGGCACAAAGCTTTGCAAATAGTAGGCCCTTAATAAATGCTTGTTGTTTAACTGCGGGGTACTTCATTTCAGAAGTACTTATTGAGTGTTCCCAGTTTATTCTAGGTACTGTATTGGGATTAAATAACAACAACAACAACAATAATAATAATTCCTGCACTTAAAATGTATATATCAGTTCTGTTCCTGAAAGTGCATACTGGGGAATGAATGCTTCTCACACTTGAAATGCAATTAGAAACTATACCACAGTATAGGTACAAATAAAATTGCAGGGTAATGATTGTTTTGTTTTCCATTGGTATCTTTGTTTCTCCATTTGGAAGCCTTCTTCAGGGCTATCCAAGGGCTGCTGCATGGATGCGATACGTATTGAAGCACTTTGTAAACTTTAAAATAATTCGGTTATTATCATTATTAGGACCTCAGCAGGGAAGACCGTAGCTCTTTCCTTCGTTTCACCAGCCAAGTTCCTTCAGATTGCTTACCCGGTACCCACTAGAGACAGTCCTTTCTCCCCTACGGCTCGGACTTAGAATTAGAAGGTTCAAGTGCCATCTAATTCAAACCCTTCATTTTAGAGATGAGGAAACTGAGGTCCAAAGTGGAGCTAGGGAGCTTGTGTAAGGCTACACAGTTCATTAATAGCCGGTCAGGGACCAGAACCCAGGTTTCCAGAATCTCGGTCCAAAGCTTTATTAGTGCGAGGTCCAGGTGAAAGCCTCCTAGGCCCCTTCCCCACTTCTTGATGGCGGTGCGGGAGGCAAGGGGGTTAGGATGCCGCCTCTCACCCTCAGGATCTTCTTCCACCTCTGCCTGAGGTGACTGCACGATAGTAAGGTGGCTTTCCCGCCCCACCCCAAAGGTGCCAGTGCCAGACCAGGAAGTGTGCGCGCAGCCTCTGCCCTGCTCTCCCCAGGGGCAGCGCCGCCTCCTCCGTGCCGCACCCCCACCACCTCCCCACGGCCAGCTGAAGGTGCTGGAGGGCTCGCTCTAGACAAGGCGGCCAGGCTGGGTGAAGCGAGAGAAGAAAGACAAGCAGACTGAGAGGAGGGGGCGGCGGGGTTTTCGCCCTCGGGGCGCTCCCCGCCTCCCCACGCGGGCACCTAATGGCGTCCTTGCAGTCCGAGGGCTCGGGGGACGTGGGTTTCTCCGAGATCCTGGACGAGCTGGCATGGAACTTCACCTACGGGGCTCAGGGCGCGGGCAACGGCTCCCTCTCCGGCTTTTGGTACAATAGAAACCAGGTAAGGAGCCGAGGCCACGCCGATCCCCACCTGGGCAGTCCCCACCTGCGCCGCTGTCACCTGGGAAGCCCCCCCCCCCACATGCCCTCTGTCATCTGGGCAGTCCGCCCCTCAACCTGCGCTGCTCTTGCCACTGTATTCCCTCACCGGCATCTCTCTCACCTGCGTCCCTCTCACCTGCGCAGCTCCCTCCTACACCACTCTCACCTGTGTAGTCCCCCAGCTGGGGTGTCACCTGCCCAGTCGTTTCCTAACCCCGCCGCATACCTGCGCGGCTCTCGCCAGTGTTTTCCCTCACCTCTCTCCCTCTCACCTGTGAAGCTCCCACCCTTGGTGCTCTCACCTGGCCAGTTAGTTCCCTCACCTGCGTTGCCTCTGCGTTTCCCTCACCTGCACCCTTCCCACTGGCTAGCCTCAACCTGTGTCCTCCCTCACCTATGCGTTTCCCCCACCCTCAGGCGGGAGCCTCCAGCCAAACACTGACCCCCCCCCCGACACACACCCACACACCCACACACCCACACACACCCCGCCCCCCCACCTACCATCCAGCCGTAAGCATCTCACATCCTAAGAGAATGAGCCAGCTACCCCATCAGGATGCAAACGGAATCACCCGGTCTCCTTGCAGGGGCTCCCTCCCCCTAACTTACTCTTCTGAGGCTGGTTGCCAAATTTTAAAGGAGTGGTAAGCTTGGCATAGAGCAGCAAGTCTTATAATTTAGGGTGGGAAAGGACAGGAGATTATTTATTGCAATGTCTTCTTTTTACAGATGAGGAAATAGAGACCCAAAGAAATCAAATGACTTGCCCAGGGTCACAAAGGAAGTGGCAGAGCTTAGATTGGAACCTAGTTCTCCTGACTCCAAATTCAGTTCTGTTTCCGTTATAATACACCCTGTTATATAAATGTATATATACATATGCGTATGTGATATTATATATATGAAACCCAGAGAGAAACATGACTGTTTTCTTTCTTAAAATCAGTCAGAAACATCTAGATAGATCAGTGGACAGGGTGCTGGGCCTGGAGTCAGGAAGACCCAAGTTCAAATCCAGTTTCAGATGTTCACTAGCTGTGTACTTACACAGGCAAGTCACTTTAACCTCTGTTTGCCTCAGTTTCCCCTATTTTAAAATAATGATGAATGATAATACCTACCTAGCCAGAATTGCTGTGAGGATCAAATGAGATATTTGTAAATCATTTAGTACAGTGCCTGGAACATAATAGGTGCTTAATAAATGCTCATTGATTGACTGGGAAATGCTTATTCCCATCCCCAGTCAATCAAAAAGTATTAATTATCCTTAGTATAGGTGCTTATTTTTAACCATATAATAGGTGCTTAATAAATGCTCATTGACTGGGGAATGCTTATTCCCATCCCCAGTAAATCAATAAGTATTAATTATTATCATTAGTAGGTGCTTATTTTTTACCACATAGTAGGTACTTAATAAATGTTTATTGGCCAAATAGGAAAGGGAATAAGCATTTCCCAGTCAGTCAATGGGTATTTATTAAGCACCTATTATGTGCCAGAAACTGTGGTGAGCACTGGAGATTGGAAGAAAAGCAAAACATAGTCCCTGCCCAAAAGGAGCTCACAATATAATGGGGTGGGGGGTTTGGAGGTTGGAAACAGAGAGAAGGAGAGAAAATAAGCAGACAAATATATACAAACAAGCTATGTACAGGATAAATAGGAAATAATTAATGGAGGAAAGGCACTAAAAGAAAAATAAAAGTAATCATTTGGAAGAATGAGCATTGAGAAAGGTCTTTCTCTCTTTCATCTTATGAGTGATGTTTAACCAGTTATCACTTCCGAAATGTAACTGACCTGTGGAAGTTCTTTATCCATTTTCCCCATGGCCTTGACTTTCCTTGAAAACCCAAGGGCAATTCCAAACCCAACCAGAACTTGGCCCTAAACAACCAATCAAGCTTCTTTCCATCTTTCAAGCAGTTGGGAGGCAAGTAGGACTGTTTTTGTGAATCATCCCCATTTCTAGAATGTTAGCACTTGAATGGGGTTCTAAGAGATCAACCAGTCCACATCTTTACAGATCAGAAATAAGAACATGAAAGTTCAGAGAAATGAAATAAAGTTACATGTGATCAGGAATATGGTGGAAATGTAGAGGTCCAAGAGATTTTGACCCCTCAAGGACCAGAGTATAGGATGGGGTCCTCTGGAATGAATTCACAAACCCAAGCAGTCTTTAAGTCAAGTTGGCAAAAGTTTATTGTTACACCTTTTGTCGGGCAAGGATTCTTAAGGAACCTGCAACCTAACAAGAATGATGCTAAAGTTTATAAGGGAAAAGTAGTAGATTATGTGTCAAGTATGCTAATTAACTGATAACATACAAATACATCATTCACTACTGGAAACCGGGGAGGGGATTCCTAAGGGGTGTATTTTTGGTCTGTTGATGTTGCATGGTGATGTGTTGATGATGCAGATTAAACTTAAAAGTTTAATACGTCTAATGCATTTTTTCCTGAAGAGATGATTGTTAAATATTTGCAAATAAAACCCCTGCATGTGAGCAAAGGAGGTGGGGGCGGGGGAAGACTTTTTATAGGATTATATACCCAGAGGTAGAAGGGACCTTAGAGGTTAACCAGTTTTACATCCTCATTTTACAGATGAAAACATCGAAGCCCAGAAAGTTAAGAACTGGGTTTCTATATGAGATTCTTGACTCCTGATTCTACTGTTCTTTTGTGTTGACAGCAGTCACTGAGAGAAGCCCCATGTGAAAGTGCTGTTACTAATGTGGCATTTTTCTGTTATCTCCCAGCACATTACTTCCTTCTCTCTAAATGGATGCCTTCTCCTTTAGAATAGCAGTGAGGCAGCTCTTTCAAGCTTTGCCCTGGGCTTTCCTTTGGAAAGCTTCCTCAGCTTTAACAACCCTAGTTTAAGCAGGAGCTAAGTACCTTATTGGAAGAGAAGGGCTTAGAGATTCCCATTTACTCTTGGACTCAGAATGGTGACAAGCCTTGTTTATGTGGCAGTTCTTAACTCTGCCAAAAAGGAGTCACAGAGAATAGGATCATGGTTTTGGAGCTGGAAAGTGTCTTAGAGGACTTGTAGTCCAGCCTCCTCATTTGACAATTGAGGAAGCTAACCAAGCTAACAAGCATTTATTAGGTACCTACTATGTGCCAGGCACTGTCACCAAGCCAGCAAGCATTTATTGAGTGCTTGCTATGTGTCTGTTTGCTATGCACTGTGTTGTTTACATTACTTGCCCATATTAGCACAGCTAGTACGTGTAAAAGGCAGGACTTCAACCCAGGTCTTCCTGATTCCAAGTCCATTATGCCACACTCAGGTGATCTTGATGTTTTCTTCTGAATTTCTTACCTCACCCAAAGAACAAGAACTACAAAAGACAATAATTGTTATTAAGGTTTGCAAAGCACTTTACAAATATTATCTCATTTATTTCTCACAACAGCCCTGGGAAGTAGATACTATTTATTATCTCCATTTTACAGATGAGGAAAGTACAGAGAAGTTAAGTGACTTGCCCAGGGTCCCTCAGCTGATTAAGTACATGAGTCAGGATTTGAACTCAGGACTTCCTAACCCCCAAGTCCAACACTATCCACTAGATGAGTTTCCCAGTACATTCTTTCACTGCTCTGGAAGTTGTAACAAAAGAATATATAATTCTCTCCTTTTTTAAGCTCAAAATCCTCAACCAGAGAAAGTTCTGCTCTGACAGAATACTTTAGCCTTAAATTTCTCTCTTACTCCTCCCCTCATTTGCCTCCTCTCAACAATATTCCAAATAAGTAGGACAAGCAAATGCCTGTACAAAACAAAGGTAATATCTAAAACAAATAAAAAAGAAAGGCAAACAGACTTTCTCTGTGACCTGAAGGAAAAGGCTTCGAGCCTCCGAGGCTAAGGGGAGAAAAGCAATACATAATGATCTTGAGATCTATAGTCTAGGATGACCACAGCAACACAGACACTTCATGACTAATAGGCCCACACAGTCTTGGTCCTTGAGTATTTGGTCACTGGTCCTTACAGTGGCTGCCCCTGCTAACATTTCTGCTCTCGAAGCTCCATGTGGCTCCTGGCAGTCTTCCCTTCCCCAGCTGAAAGCATTTTCTACATGTCTCATCAAAAGCTGGGTTTGTCCTACCCACCTACCTCTAGAACTGTCCCACTGTCTTTATGGATTGCCCATGAGAGTGACTAATAATAAGCTTGGCCAGTGGTATTGTTCCCTTTTTTAGTTTTCCTACTTTGAGGAAGGGATTGCTCTGAGAAGGAATTCTTTTCCAGACAGCAATTCTTGGGACCATTTAGCAAGTGGATAATTTCCCTAAGGAATTGGTTTGTATTTCATAAAAATATCGCCATGCCTGGCTGTGTTTTTTTTTTTTTTGCAGTCAGTTTAATACTTCATTCTAGGTCCCCTTACATTCTGTGATTAAGTCCTAGGCTTTCCCAGGCGTTTTTGTAGGTAAGGCTCAGAAATCAGTGGGCTATCACAGAATCACAGAGTTGGAAAGGCCATTAAGAGATTACCTAGGACAACTTGTACCTGGAAAAGAATCCTCTCTCCATCCTACCTGACGAATGGCCATCCAACCTTTGTTTGAAGAAAGATGGCCAGTGAGGGAAAACTCACTACCTTGTAAGGTCAGCCCATTCTGCTTCTCATTGATAAAAAGTTTTAGAATAAATAAAGATTAAATTCAACACTTTTCAACTTTACCCATGGGCCTCCATTTCTGCATGGTATCACTTTCCTGATGTCATAGTCCTCTTCAAAAAGGAAGGACAAACAGCAACAACAACACTATGGGGGCTAATAGGAAGAACTATAATCCCTCATTAATATATTAACTGTTCAAATACATGAAGATAGAAGGATAGGTTGTTGTTGTTCAGTTGCGTCAGACTCTTCATGACCCCATGGACAGGTTTCTTGGCAAAGATACTTTGGAGTGGCTTGCC